TCATTTGCAGCTATTTTATTACATGCAATTTTCCTCAGTTATCTTCTGTGATAAGTTCTTGAAAAATATTGTCCACAACCTTCATGTATCTTCAAAATGCATTTTTTAGTTGTATGTTGAACAGCCTAGAGACGGACCCCGGGGCGCTTCCCCCCCACCCCCCAATGGCTGACATGACCCGCTCGCCTCGCTGCTCCGGAGACTGCCTTGGTCACACTTTAAGAGTCACTAAGCTCATACTATATTGAAAATGAAACCTGATTATGTTATTCCCTTGCCATTGATCTTAGGATAAATCCTTTTTGATTTTTTGAAATTATTTTATAGCACTGAGAATTAAACCCAGAGCCTTCATACTGCACTACATCCCTAGCCCCTACCCACCCCTTCCCCTTTTTTTTTAAATCTTGCAAAGGGGTTTGGCTAAATTGTGTAGGCTGAGCTTAAACTTGAGATTCTCTTTCCTCAGCCTCCCACAATTGGTATCCCAGGTATGTAGCAGGAAAATCCATAATTACTACTGTAGCCTGTAAGACACAGGCCTGGATTATGTCATCAGTATATCGAATCTTTTTTCCCTTGCAATTTTTAGATTTAGCTGACTTGTCTGCTAACTATTTCTAAAATAATGCTGTTTCTGTCTCAGACCTTTAGTATCATATTTTTTGTGCTTTATATGTTTTTCCTCATCTGTCCTTAGCCCCCTTTCCAGTTTTTATAATTTTAATTGATCATAGTCTTTACTAAATCAGATTTCTTTGTTACTTATTCTATGAGCACCTTTTTTCTTTTTGTACTCATTCTGTTATAGTTGTATGGATGTTTCAGCTCCTTGGCTTACTGTATTACCTTTGGTGTGTGATAAAGTAGTTGACCATCCTAAGGGCTAAATAAATATTGGTTGACTCGAACATCTGTTCTTGCTCTGTTTTTCTCATATTTGCTCTGGAGTATCAAGTATAAATAATATGCAAATTGGGACTTGACAAATTGTAAGAGTTTATATACCTACTGTGTACTAGTATCCCTTAGGGTAGGACTCTTCCACAGGGATATGTGGTCCTAGAATTTCTGTGATTAATGTTTTGTACTTGGAATTTGCATTGTGACTAGAGTTTCTCTGTCATATTGATTTCCTACCTGAAAGATGGGGGATTTTAGTAATTTTGTTTATTGATGGGTTAATTAATTGGTTCTGTGTCTCATAGGGCCTCATTCTTAGCAAGCTATGTTCTACCACTCAGCCACACCAGCAGAGGACACAGAAATACCATTTTTAAACCTATAAATATACATGCTTTTGCTACTGTATTGCTTTTAAGTTTTTATATGTTAATTATTTTCCCTTTCTTACCTTCTTAAGCGTTATCGAACTCCTTCCAGATCCAGATCAAGGGATCGTTTCCGACGTAGCGAGACTCCTCCACATTGGAGGCAAGAGATGCAGAGAGCGCAGCGAATGAGGGTGTCAAGTGGTGAAAGATGGATCAAAGGGGATAAGTAAGATCAACTGTGGTTGCAAATGTAGTGATAAGTATTTTAACTGTTGTACATAAAATTATTTTACTGATATAGCTATGTTATTTGTATATACCTTAGTAAAAATATCTTTTTAACTAATAATTACATTGGTCTTTTACTAATATTTCCAAAAATGCTTTTTTCTTCTTATTGTCAGGAGTGAATTGAATGAAATGAAAGAAAATCAAAGGAGCCCAATTAGAGTAAAGGAGAGAAAAATAACTGATCACAGACATGTGTCTGAAAGTCCCAATAGAAAAAATGAAAAGGAAAAGAAAGTTAAAGAGCATAAATCTGACAGCAGAGAGAGAGAAATCAGAAGAAATTCAGAAAAAGAAGATAAATATAATAAAAACAAAGTGAAGAAAAGGGCCAAATCTAAAAGTAGGAGTAAGAGCAAAGAAAAATCAAAGAGTAAGGAAAGAGATTCAAAACACAACAGACATGAAGAAAAGAGATTGAGGTCAAAGAGTAAAGAAAGGGATCATGAGAATGTTAAAGACAAAGAAAAGCAACCTGATTCTAAAGGAAAAGATCAGGAAAGGAGTAGAAGTAAAGAGAAGTCTAAGCAACTAGAATCAAAAAGTGATGAGCATGATCATAGTAAAAGTAAAGAAAAGGATAGACGCGCACAGTCCCGGAGTAGAGAATGTGACGTGACTAAAGGTAAACACAGTTACAATAGCAGAACAAGAGAACGGAGCAGAAGTAGGGACCGCAGCAGAAGAGCACGATCCAGGAGCCATGACAGAGATCGCAGCAGAAGCAAAGAATACCACAGGTACAGAGAGGAGTACAGGAGAAGAGGGCGATCACGAAGCCGAGATAGAAGAGGGACACCGGGAAGATCGAGGAGTAAAGAGAGGAGGAGGAGGAGGAGAGAGTCTCGGAGCTCGGAGAGAGAGGAAAGTCAGAGCAGAAACAAGGAAAAACATAGAAGCCAGGAAAGCAGGAGCTCACACAGAAAAGAAAACTCTGAGAGTGAAAAAAGAATGTACTCTAAAAATCGTGATCATAACAGCTCAAGTAGTAACAGGGAGAAAAAGGCTGATAGAGATCAAAGTCCATATTCTAAAATAAAGCAAAGCAGCCAAGACAGTGAGAAGTCCTCCACATCAAAGAATAAGGAGGATGAGAAGAGGAGGATGAGAAGACCAGATCCTCAGTGGAAAACGAAAACCAAAAATCAAAGGCTCAAGAAAATGACCATGTACATGATAAAAACAAAAAATTTGATCATGAATCAAGCCCTGGAACAGATGAAGACAAAAGTGGATGAGTGAGTTGTGTAAATTTATTTCCTTTCTGTCTCAAAATTTAAGTTTTAGAGACTTGGCTGGTGAATATCCTTTATGTTGTTTTCATTGTTTTTGTTTTTTTTTTTTTGTTTTGTTTTTTTTATGTCTCTTTTTGTTTTTGTTTTTTAATGTGGACTTCATTGAGTTGATCTTTTGATAATCTGCAACCTGGATAATTTGTACTGGATAAATTTGTACTGCTAAAGTTTTAATAAACTTGAAATGAGAAAAACATTTTGGTGTAACACTGTGTGCTGTGTTGAACTATTTTATGTATACATTTTTGTGTTGCAACGGTCAGCCAGCAGCATCCTAATTTGTTTAATCAGTCATTTGAAACAAGCATAACTGATGGTTGCACTTGTTATGAAAGCTTGTGTTTCTTGCAGTTAACATAACTAGGCACCGCTAGAGCAAATTTTGTGTAGATTTTGATTGAATTTATAATGCAGGCCTGTAGCAATTTAATTACACAGAAATAGGGTCCTGATAATTTGAGATCTTAAGTCATCACTTTTGATTTTATAGTTACTTGTACTTTTAGATGAAAATTTATTTAGTTATCGATCTTGTGTTTCATACCTTCATAATATTTTTCTAATTTGTTTTATTTGCATGTCTATAAAAATGTTACAAGAATTTTTTCAGTTAATGTGCTGATTGAACTTGAATTGCTGTTACACAGCATTTTATAGGAAGATCAGAGTGTAATTCTCAGTTTTTGTTGGTTTTGGTCTGAAGAGTTGAAATTACTGCTTAATGAGAACATTATTTTATTATTTTTACTTTCTTTTCCTAAAATAAAAAAATTCTTAATAAAGCATACAACTTCTCCCAGTCCTTAAGCTAGACAGATTCTAAAAAGTGTTAGTGTTAATACATTAACTTCTAAGATTTCTCTTTTTTGGCCACCAACCTGTATAGCATTAAGTGTTAATTCTGCATGGTTTTTGTTTTTGTTTTTGTTTTTGTTTTTTGAAACTTGAAGTATCTTTTCTCTCCTAGCTGTGAGTATCAAATGGCCAAAACAAGAAAAAAAGAACAAAACAAAACAAAAAAAAGCATCTTTCTATAAATGTATGATGATAGGCTATAGCATGTTTATGACTCTGGTTTCTTTTTATTCAGGTGGCTTTATGGCTTTATACCATTACTGTTAACATTATTTTAACTCGGCATGTGTAATATTGCCATGTAGAGTAAAATAAAAAGTTGCAAAATTTGGTAGCTCTCAGAATTAAACACTAAACATATCCAAAGTTTATTCAGAATTTTATGTGCTGTATTTTGTCATCTTTGTGATGTGTGGCCTTTTATTCTGTAACATCTCTTCTAAATAAAACATTGAACATACAGCAAACACAAAACCTGCCTCATTTTCAAAGAAATTTCAAAATTCCAATCAATAGTGAACTCTAGAGTTTTGTATTTTAATATTTGTCAATATAGTGTTAACTTTATTACCAGGGTAGATTCTTGATAACTCCATTAGTTACCCAGTGCTATTTGTACTTAATAAAGTGATACTTAGCATAATATTTCCCATTATTGACTAATAATAGTAATCATTTGGCACTATACCTGTTGCAGAATAGTATACTGATTATATCTCTGTTTGAACTGTCTTGAAATAAATAGCCTGAGTGGATTTTTTTCCACATTTTATTTCCTAGTGATAAAAGTAGTAGATGTTTATTATAATTCAGGGTCATTCGTTAGGAACTGACTACGGACCCACATTAAGAATTACTGAGCCTGTCTAAGCTCTATGATCTGTTACGTTATATTTTAAGTTGTTGGCTTACAAATTCAGTAAATTGAGTCTTAAAATGTCAGATTAGTTGAGCTTCAAGACAGGTACTATTTAAGAAAGAATTTGTGATAATACATGTATATTTTTTAAAGTCCATGCTAAGAACCCAGAGCTTTATCTATTAAGAATATTGACAGGTACTTTCCAGATTTTGAGTTTCAAAAAGTAGCCACAGGGAGAAAAGGTAATTCCATAAGCGGTGTTGTCCTGTTTGAGTTACCAAAAGGACTCCATGTGAAGCATTATTAAACAAACAAACAAAGCTTCGTTAGCTGTTTTACAGAACAGATTGAAAAAGGACAATCAATTAAATTTTATTTTCAGAGTACAAAAGAAAATTAGAAAATGATTAGGAAGAATTAATTGTACACCACACTTGGATCTAAATAGCACAAGGCTCAATGAAGGGGTCCTTTCCTCATATGACATTTTTTAGTAGTTGTGCCATCTTTAGTGTTTACTTTGGACATTGTCTGTTTGCCCAAAGAATCAGCTATTTTTCTCATCACATTGATTTTATAGTTGTATCTAAGTCTGTGTGAGTTACCTGCCCCAGAGCTGGTACTAGAGAAAGACTGATAAATATTGGAGAAGGAACTGGGTTATTGTTTAAAAGAAATTTTACTCTATAGTTGGCAAGTTCAGAGGTTATGTAGTATCTTGTAAGTTAACTAATTGAGGCCCTCAGAAATGCAAGGAGTTTATCTGATGAAGTCTCTGCACTGATGTTGATGCATGTTGGGTTTGCTGAATGGCCTTTAATTCTTGTGCTCAATGGAAGATGTGAAATTCTACAAGATTTTGTTACAGACAGGCACGTATTAGGTTTTTAGTATTTTGGGTAATAGTAATAATTGATAATTATAATTTATTTTCTAGTTAGTTTTGGGGAGCAAATGAGTATGCTTTTTAGTAGTTGTCCTTTGCTCTAGGTGGTAATTTTCATCACACTGAGCTTTTTTGTAAATTTCTGTAGAATCTTTGGGCTTGCCTTCCCTAGAAGGTACTTTAAATATACACCATATAGCTAATTGGTATGAAGACAAAATGGTATTTTTCTGTCTCATTTTGCTTATGTTTACTATAATTATTCCCTTAGTAATTATTCCCTTTTATAGTTGAATAAATTCTCCATGGCTTGAAGGTTGTGAAATTTTTATTGTGAAAATTTGTGTTTTATTACAAATATTTGCTTGGAGGAAAAAATGCCCCAGGAAGTTCAGTGTTGGATGACACACCTGCTATGGTGGGCCTCCCAGCTGCCTGTAAGGGACTCCGGCAGAGGCAAACTCTAGCCTGTTGTGTGACAAAGAAGTAAATATTAAAGGGAAAAAAACGCACAAATCATATGAAATGAATTCCATCAGCAAGGTTGGAGAAGGGAGTCGGTGCAGGTGTTTTCGGTTTTAGGTGTGGAGATGGATGGTGGGATTGATTGTGTGTCATCTCCCCATGCCCCAGCAGATTTCATCCTACCCAAAGCACATGCTGTATATTTTCTTCCTCTTTTGTGTGTTCATAGTATTTTCAAAGACCGATAAATGAATTGAGTATTTCTGTGTGTGGACATATTCAAAATTGTGGCTGCTTTTCGTGGAAGGGGAAACATAAGGAAGTTACTGCACTTCTTTTCTTAGCTCAGAAGTCACTGTGATGTATATTTTTTTAATGAAATTTAGAAATAAAATTGTCTCCTCAATTGTAAAAATTAGTTTCAAAATGCTGCTTCTCCTATCATTAGTAACTGTTGGACTGTTTTCCGCAACTGCATTTTACAAAATTTAAACTTCAAAACTGTATTAACTTTTATAGTTAAACATTGTATTAAATAAACTGTACTATAACAAACAGTTTGGATTTGTATTTTTTAAATTATTGTATTAGTTACTTGCCTTTTTTTTCTTTTCATTAAAGCTAAATAATGAAAATAAACCGACTGAAATGCACTTGCATTTAACCATTGGAAATAGAAAATGTGTTGTGAGACAAGCAAAGCTTAATAAGATTAAGCTTCTTTTAAAAATTCGAGCCAGGTGTGGTGGCACATCCCTGGAATCCCAGCACTCAGGAGGCTGATGCAGGAGGATTGCTAGGAGTTCAGAGCCAGCCTGCATTGCAGAGTGAGTTCAGGGCCAGCTGAACTACATTGTGAGACCTTGTCTCAAAAAAGAAAAAATGTTAGCAGTGATAATAGCCAGGTTTGGAAGTAAATTCTGTTGTAAACATTTTAATCACGTTTCTGTTTGCATTATGTCTTTTGCCTTAGCAAACTTTTTTGCCATTTCCTTTTATTTATTGGTTTATTTTAAGTTTATTGGTACATTTTATACATAATAACCACATTCGTTATAGAGAATTTGTACCTGTCAGCAAACTTTTAGTGTGAAACTTGGTACTTGCCTTCTTGTCTACTAAAATACTATCATTTGCTTTTTAATTCCTCCAGATTTCTCACCACTAGGACTATGGCAGTGTATTCTGTGCCTATCATTTTAATATTCTATTGTAAAGCCATATAAATTATAACTTTTGTAAAACAAAATGTCTAGTTTTTATTTGGTTCTATTTTTATTTAATTTAGACATTTAGGAAAAATGAACTTGGTTAACTTGAGAGTAAGTGGAAATATATGCACAGCTGGTAACATTCCTGCCCAGGATGGTCCCCGTCAGTGGTTTGTGTTAACAGGTGAATTGTAAAACTCCAAATCTGACGTGTATTTAAATGCTTTAGCCAGAGGAATATGGAAAATATGAGTGCTACATATATAAACTGCCAATGGAGTATTAAAGTACTTTCAGCAATAATTTGTTCTATTTTCTGTACTTTTTTTTTTTTTTTTTTTTTTTTTTTTTATTGAACTCAGGCGCTTGTACTTGCCAGGGGAGCACTTATTCCACTGAGCCATCTCCCTGGCTCCTGTACTTCATTTTTTTTAAAGATGGGGTTTCCTGCTCTTGCCCACACTGGCCTTGAAATCAGGATCTCCACAAGCCTCCTGAACAGCTGGGATCACAGGCACGCACCACTGCGCTACGCTTTTTACTCTAGGTCTCCTGAACATTCCCTTAATACACTTACCTTTTTTTTTAAGTGCCATCTCAAAATTTTTATACCCCCCTCAAGTGTTCAAAGTGCTTCGGTTTATTAAATTTGTCAATTTCTCTTCAAATTACAGCTATTTGTGTACTGTACCAGTTTTTCACTAATTGTTTTGTGATTTGCATAACCTTATGATGTACTCTGGTCATGTACGCTTGTATTCTGAAAGTCCAGCCCAATTGAAAGTAAATAAATTGTATATGTATGGCAGAAAAACTAGTAGGGCTGATCCTTCACTCAGGAAAAATTGATTATACATCTATTTTATGTGATTTACTGCAGACATTCCTCATTCAATAACCAGGTTTTATAACTTGTTGGTTTGATTGCTAAATGAACTATTTTGTGTACAGTATTCACAACAAATGTTTAAGGAAGACTCTGAACTTGATGACTAACAGCTATGGTGCTGTGTTGTACAGGACAATCACCAAAAACTACAATGCTGTAGAAGCAAAGGTGCACTGTGCCAAAAAAGTTGAGGCTTTGTAAACAAATTGTACAGAACTGTGCAAAGAAAAGATGGGTCATAAGCCTGAGCAATGGGTTGTAAATCCAAACTGCGTACCTCAGTTGTAAGTCTGAATTGTTAAATGAGCAATGTCTCTTGTAAAAAACTTCTACAATATGAAGGTAGTTTTTGCCTAAAATAACTTTTCTTTATAGTTATGGTTCTATTGAACCCATGGCCTCGTGCATACTTAGCAAGTGATTTACCGCAAGGCTACACTTAGAGGCTTTATTTATTTATTTTGGTGGGGTTTTTTTGTTTTTTTTTTTTTTTAGAGAAGGGTCTATAGGGTGTTCAGGGTCTCACTGCTAGATTGGACTTGTAGTGATCCGCCTGTTTACAGCCTCCCAAGAACTGGGATTACAGGCGCACCACAAGGCCCGGTCTCAATTGAGATCTCAGCGTGCTCCGGGGGCGGGGCCGGCAAGGCAGGCCCAGGGATTGAACCCCCAGCCCATGTGCCTGTTTGCAGGTGCTTTAATCAGCTGAGCTATTTGGCCAACCCTTTAGAAGTTTAAAAGGAAAGTCTGTGTGACAAGTTTCCACATTTTGTTCACATTGTCCCTTGCATTCCAGTATCAACATGGTGTTACCCCGAGGGTAATACCTAACTTTGGAATAGTTCACCTAGCTAAAGTATATCCTAACAATTTTTTGATGCTGCTTACAGGTATCTGAGATTTTTATTTTGGGGAAGCTGTTGAGATAGGGTCTTATATTCAGGCAGGCCTTGAACATGTGATGAGCCCCTTACCTGAGTGCTGGGCTTACAAGTATGTACTGCCACACCCCATTTAAAATTTTAAAATCATGACCTCAAAACCCCTGGCGTTAGATTTCATACCTGTTGGGGCTGGGGAGATAGCTCAGTTGAGTAAGTGCTTGCCTGGCAAGCACAAAGTCCTGAGTTTGATCCCTGGTACCACCAAAAAATAAAAAATAAATAGATTTCAAACCTGTTCCCACCCTTTTTCCTCATTACATAGATTTCTATGTAGTACCTGAATATTAATCACATCAACTGAGACTATACAGAAGAAACAGTGGATTTTTTTTTTTTTAAGTCAGGTTATTTAATGCAGGGTCTTGCTGTGCGGTTCACACTCATAGTGATCCCTCCTGTCTCAACCTCCCTAGCACTAGGATTACAGGTGTGCACCACCATACCCAATTTCGTGCCTGGGATTCTGGGGCTCACGGAGCAGGCAGTACTGGGGATACAAACTGGTCATTGTGCTGGCCAGGCAGGGACTTAAGACTGCCGAGCTGTGTTCCCAGCCCAGAACAGTAGATTTAATTTTAACTCAAACTAGTAACCTGTGTCACTTTGTTGATAATACATAGCGTTTTCTCTTTGAAAAATTGAAATGTTCACCAGCTCTTTTTGTGAATACATTGTGGCTCCTTGGCCTCTTACCTTTGCAGTTTTAGAATTTATGGAGTGATAGGCTCAGATGACTGTATGCTACAGTGGCTGGCTCAGCAGTTTTGAAAGTAAATGTGCCCATCCCCCTCCCAGATGTACTTAGCTACAATCGAGTTCTGGTGAGCGTCACTGCAGTCTGTTATGTATGTCCTGAGGCCAGGCAGTGGTGTGCACCTATAAATCCAGCACTGGAGAGGCTGACACTGGAGTATGGTTGCAAATTCGAGACCCAAAGATAGGAAATGAGCTCAAGGCCATGAACTGCATAGCAAGACCCTGTCGCAAAAGGACCCCCCCAAAAAAACCTAAAATTACATGCAAAGTTTAGAATATTGATGCTGAAGAAGCAGCAAATGAACATTCCCAGGGGATTATGTCAAAACTTTTTTTTTTCCTGTTTGGTCTCAGAGAATGATATCCTGCATAATTTATACCTTCACCCAGCATTCGTATTTGTAGGGATCTGAGAGGCACCCTGTCAAGAACATGAACAACATGAAGCTGCTAATTACAGGAATTTGTAGCACTAAGAACTACCCACATACTTGTTTGTCAGTGGCTGGCTAACCAGGTTTACCCATGCAAAAATACTCTGCCAGTTGGAAAAGGAATAAGGGACTTTCTGTATGACTAAGCTGTGCTCTCTAGAAGCTACTGAAATGGTTCTGTGTAACAGGTACTGCATATGCTTGCTTTTAAAAAGAAAAGGGAGGGCTGGTGAGATAGCTCAGTGGTCTAAAGCACCTACTTAGAACAAGCTTGGCAAAGCACAGGGACCACGGTTCAATCCCCCATGCATCACATGGCAGCCAGCCCCGCCCCCTGGTGGGCTGAGCTGGACACACACACACACACACACACACACACATAAATAAAAAAAAAATTAAGAAAAAAGGGAAAAAGACATGAAAAGACCTTAAGGAATTAAAAATAAAAATAAAACCCAAAAACTTGTTTTGTTTTTCCACATAGGGTTTCACTATTTGGGACTGGCCCTGAGCTCACTTTGTAGCTCTGGCTGATCTCATGAGTACTGGGATTACAGGTATGTGCCACAATGCCCAGCCTATAAATCATTTCTTGATAAAGGCACAACATTCAGGACACATTGAGAACAACATGTTGTACCCTTGTACTCAGTACTTCAGAAGCTATGGCAGGAGCTAAAAGTATAAGCTCACCCTATGTCTCAAAATTTCAGGGAAAAAAAAAAAATCAAGGGCCAACCAGATAGCTCAGCAGATTAAAGTGCCCGCTCTGGCAGACTCAGGGACTGGGGTTCATTCCATCCCTAGCGTGTTGTGCCGGCCAGGCGCTCGGGGTATGCTGAGATGTGATGGAGACTGAGCCTGGTGGTGCACACCTATAATCCCAGCGCTTGGAAGGCTGAAAACAGGAGGATCACTAGGAGTCCAATCTGTGTAGTGAGACCCTGTAGACCCTATACTACATACACTGAAAAAATTTAAAAAGTACTGTCAATAATAACTTGATTCTTAAGTGCTGAAGGACAGGAAATAAGCATATGAATTTTTGCTGTAGAAGGAAATATGGAAAGAAGGAATGAAGTATGATACTGTACATTGTGCAACATGGACCAACCTTGAAAATAAGCCAAACACCAAAGCCCATGATTTGATTCCATTTATGTGAAATACAGAGACACATCCATAGAGACAAAGCTGATTAGTGGCTGCAGCAGGCAGCTGGGAGGGAGGCTGGGGAGCAGCTGCTTAATGCGTGCATGGTTCCAACTGCAGCAGTACACAGGTGTAGATACACACTTGTGCATGTGCTTGATACCAGTGAATGCACATCCTGAATAAAATCTGACCTCATATTTACAGTAAAAAGGAACTGAGTCAGCTAACTGGAGTTTTATATATCTTCATTGGAAATAACATGAAGAAACAGCATAAGTGTACTGAGATGAAAAGGAGCTTTATTAACAAACATTGTATTACATTTGTAGCTCATTTCCTACAACTTAGTCTTCTCAATGTTTAAATTTTTCTACCATGTAAAACCTAGCCTTCTCTTAGACTTCTGTAAATTAGTATATTTTGATCCCTGAGAATTATAAAAGGGGAGCTGTACACCAGTAAAATCATTCGCTTGATAGCTTGGTCTTAAGCCACCTCGATCCACAAAAGCTGGTCCATGGCCACCTCCAGGTCCTTCCTGTACAGCTTTTACAAGAGGGTAAATATATTTATTTGTTGACTCAGATTCAAGTTCAATCACTTCTCTGGCATAATCCTGAAATTCTTTCTCCTTTGCAGCTGCAAGAGATTCAGTATGTCTGCAATACTCTAATTCTGCTTCTTTTGCTTGTTGAGCATTAAATTTATTTTTGGCCTATTTGAGAAAGAAAGAAAATACAATTTAATATTGGATGAGAACATTATCTTTGTAACTATATGTAGCATTTGAAAATGAATATAGAGATGAGCACAGTGTCTCACACCTTATGCCCAGTACTGGGAGGCTGAGACAGGGCAAAGTTCAAGCTCAGCCTAGGCAAGTTAGCAATTTATAGCAAGAACTTACCTCTTTTAAAAAGGGTGTAATTTTCTGAACTGGTTGATAATTTACAAATTCAGATTTGACAACTCTATGCTATAATGTTATGATTTATTTCAGAAACACCCATGAATATGAGAAACTACTTTGGCAGTAACAATACACAATGTACTAACCATTGTTACTCTCCTAAAAATAAAAAATAAAAATAAAAATAAACACCCATGATTCTAGAAGAGTATGCTGAAAGTGTGACTCCAGATCTACCCAATAGCCTTATGTGGTACACCTTTAAGCAAATAACATAATAGTAAAAAGCATGAAGTGTATGTAAAAATCAGATAACTAAGTGTAGAATTCCATTTTAACCATTAGGAGATAGGCATCTTTGCCAGATCAAATTACCATGAATATTTGTAATTTTAATTAGTAATTAAATTTGTAACTTGTAATCAAGCTAACTATGTCCTGTTTCCCAAGACTTGGAAGTTGAAACAAGTAAGTTGATCAGGGATTTAGTGAAATAAAAAGGCAATATGCCAAAAGCCAATTTACCAATAATTTATAAAATTTTTATAGTGTACTGTTTATATCAATTTGCACTGGAGGAGGTGGTTTCAATGCCTTTTCTTTGAAAATGTGGTTAGCAACTTTTTATTTTGTCTTCTCTACCGCATTTTAAGAAATAATGTCAGGAGTACCTGCCTGGCAAGCACAAGGTCCTGAGTTTGATCCTCAGTTACAAAGAAACAGAAAGAAATAATGTCAGGTGTGGTGGTGTGCACCTGTAATTCCAGCATTTAAGTAGGCCAGCCTGGGCGATGTAGTGAGTTCAGGGCATCCCAACCACATGTTAAGACCCTGTCTCAAAAAGCAAGCAACAGGGGCCGGGGAGATAGCTCAGTAGAATAAGTGCTTGCCTGGCAAGCACAAGGGCCTGAGTTTAATCCCCAGTTCTGCCAAAAAAAAAAAAAAAAAAAAAAGCAATATAATAAGTTTGTGAAAATAAATTAATCTACATATGAACACATTTATATCCATGAATGTTTTTTTTTTCCTGTGTTTTAGGACAGGGTCTACAGGGTCTCATTACACAGATCGGACTCATAGTGACGCTCCTGTTTTCAGCCTCCCAAGAGCTGGGATTACAGGTGAGCACCAGCATTCCCAGTCTGTAAGGCTGTCTCAGCTTGTCCCGGGGGCAGGGTCAGCACAGCTTGTGGGGGATCGAACCCTGGCAGCTGCGCTCTGCCTAAGCAGGCACTTTCGGCCGTTATCAGGCAGGCCCACCATGAAAATATTTTTAGGTTTCTTGGGGGGACGAGGAGATGGCTTGGTGGAATAAGCGCTTCCCGGCAAGCACAAGGGCCTGAGTTCAATCCCTGGTTCTGCAAAAATACATATATATATATATATATATATATATATATATATTCATTTATTTATTTATTTATTTTAGGATTCTTCTTTTTGTTGGCAGAACTGGGGATTGAACTCAGGCCCTGGCACTTGCCAGGGAAGTGCTTATTCCACTGAGCCATCTCCCTGGTCCCAAAAATACTTTTAAAAATCCAGAACTCCAGTACAAAACAGTATCCTAAACCTATCTTCAATGAACTGAAACTTGTGAAGGAATCAAGCAACTTATAAATGTGAAATAACACATTTTTTCTTACTGAGTTCTACTGTTCAAATAAAGCGTATGTACTAGTGTTGAATTGGTCCAACAGATGGTGCTGAGAAATCTGGCAAAAGCATGAGGCTGAAAGATCACAAATTTAAAATCAGCTCAAAATGGTAGGCTCATGTAGGTACCTACAGGCCACTGTTCACAGCAGCATTGGTCACCCAGTCAAAATAATTCAAAAGTGCATTGGTGATGGGGCCGGTGAATTAGCTCAGCCGACTAAATCATCTGCTTGGGCAAGTGCAGGGACCGCAGTTCGATCCCCAGCACCACATGCTGCACCAGCCTCTGTCCCATGGCCAAGTTGGGCATGGTGGCGCACACCTGTTAATCCCAGCACCAGGGAGACTGAAAGCAGGAGATCACTAGGACTCCGAGCTGTGTGGAGATAAATACGTTCATTGATGGCTAGGTGAAGTAACAAAATGTGTCATATACATACAATGGAATAGCATTCAGCTATGAAAAGAAATAAGACTGCTGGGCATGCTAGTGCACATCTGTAACCCCGGCACTTTGGGGGCTGGGGCAAGAAAGTGGTGTGAGTTTGAGGCTAGCCTGAACTACATGGCAAGACTGGCTCAAAAAGGGGCTGGGGACTGGGGAGATGGCTCAGTAGAATAAGCACTTCCCTGGCAAGCGCAAGGGCCTGAGTTCAATCCCCAGTTCTGTCAAAAAAAATCAAAAAAGGGGGTGGGAGGAATGAAACATACTCTGCCACATAATGTGGAGTGAAATAAGCCAGACACAAAAGAACAAATGTATTACTTTACTCAGAGGAGGTACCACCAAAATCAAATTCATAGAGCCAGAGTAAAACTGCTCACTAGGGCTGAGAGGAAGGAACAGGAAGTTACAATTTAATGGGAATTGAGTTTTAGAATAAGGTGGGAATAAGTTCCAGAGATAAAACAGTGGTGATAGTCAGTGTGAATGTTCTTAATGCCCCTAAACTCTGTACCTAAAAGTGGATTAGCGGACACGTGATGGTAAATCCCAGCACTCTGGAAGCTGAGACAGGAGGACTGCCACAAGTTCAAGGCCAGTCTGGGCCAAATAATCTGTTCAAGGGCATCCTGACCTACATAACAAGAACCTGTCCCCCCCCAAAAAAGGCAGGGAGGATAAAATGCTAAATTTTATGTTATATATACTTTAAAAGAATAAAAAAATTAAGTTTTAAAAACTAATCAATAAGAACCCGGGCTAGGGGTATCACTCAATGGCACAGTACCTGCCTGGCAAGTAAAAGGCCCTGAGTTCCATTTCCAGTACCCCCTCCAAAAAAAACCCCCAATTAAATAATTAACAACAAGCTTAAGCAGACATTTCTTAGAAGAAGTTATGTAAATGCTAACCAGGGTATGAAAAGATACTCCTCGTTGCCAGTTACCAAGGAAATGCAAAGGAAAGCACATCCTGCGCTAGAAAAGCCACCTTACAGGGTGTCAACAGCAAGCGCTGGGAAGGATGTAAAGGAGCTTGTGCTTCTAGTCATTGCTGACAGGAATGGAAAATGGTATGGCCATCTTGCAAAACAGCTTTTAGTCAGAAATGAGTGGATGCCAGTCCTCTACTACTACCTGCGACCAGACCAGTCCCCTCCAAACTGAAACCCAGGAGATCCCACTCAACACGGTCTTGGATATAGCAACAGAGGGAACAAGTAAAACCCAGATGATGATGGTTATAGCCCATCATATGTATTTGCCTTTCAGATTTACTAAAGCACAATGGAAACTAGATAAAAGAAAAACCTAGTACGGGAACCTCAATGCAGATAAGAAAATTCACATTTGCGACATACTCGGTAGTAGCAAAAACACAGCAACCATTGTTCTTACTGCACGGAAGACAGAAACCCAGCCCAAATTTCACCCTCCACATTTACTACTTAAGTCAAGGCGAGCATTTAGGAACTATTACCATCTGCTGAATATGGGCATCCTGAACTTCTCGGCGTTCTATATCAGCTTTGCGTTTTTTCTCCTTTTCCTGCTCCCTGAAAATTTGATCTGCTTTCATGACAGCCAGTAATTGTTCTTTAGCTTCTATTTTCGTTTGTCTTTCTTCTTCCTCTTTATTTTTCATCTAAGATATTTAAAAGCAAAAGGGAAATTAAAACTAATTTTAGCAACCAGTTCTAACTAAAAAGGAATGGAGTCAAAGTTTCAGGCAGAAAGTCAGCCAGGAGCCATGCAGGAGCAGAAAACTGTAGGCAGATAGATTTTTTTAAACATTTATTTATT